GTGTGTACAGGAGGAAACTGCCCCTCCTTCTCCAGCAGAGCATCTGGTGGATTCGAATCACATGCGTCTGGGATTGTAGTGCAGCTTCTTGCCACTAGGCCACCAGAGTTCCCTAGGGCTCCTTTTTTGCTAAAGCGTTTAATGCAACACTGGTAGTAAGATATCAAAATAAATATTAACCATGTCTGTTCCTATACAATTTACCATCACAAAGCAAAGTGATGCTGATTTATAAAAAACTAGATTTTTTCCATTTTAAAAGACAGAAATACATGATAAATATATTTTTTAGTTAAGACAAAAAGAGTTTTTCTTCCTTAAGGATCTTGAATCAGCCTATACTATTGGTTCAAGTGCCAGCCCCACACTTACCAGATAGCTGGGCGACAAGTTACTTCTCTGTGGACACACAACACCTTTTTTCCTTTTCAACATTAACAGTTATATTTATTGTACAAAACAAGCTTAGGGGTAAGTTATATGCATATATGAGTAGTAGCATCAACTTGAGAAAATTCTCTTGCCAAAAGTTGGTCCCTTCTGTTTCAGTGACTTTGCTGGGATTTTTTTGCATATTTGTTTGTATGTTTTCTAATAACCATTAAATTCTATTCCCATGCCCTATTTTTTTAATCTGTGACATGGAAACAGTGATAATAACTACCTATTGTGCTGTTTTCAGTGGGATCATCTCTGTCTGATTTGTAATAAGAATGCTATACAAAAGCTTTCATTGATGTGAAAACATCCAGTTGCCTTGCCCACTTCGTCCTTGAGAGTGCTTGTATACCTCCAGTGGCAGAGGATTCAGGGCCACTCAAGGGAGCCCACTTGGGGCTTTAGAGCTCTGGCAGCTAAATATTTCTCCATTATGTTTAAAGCTCATTAGCAATTTGTTCTGAGCACTCTTTTCTCCACCCTTTGCCACTTTCCCCAGAACCCTCCAAAAAGTTCCTGATCAGTGCCTCAGAGTGGCTAGCCCTTCTTGGCACCTTCCTTCCCCCTTTCTGATTCCTGGTGGACAGGTAGAGCTACACATGGCAGGGGCTCGAGTATCCAGTTCAGGGAGTTGGCTCAGACCTGGGGTGTATGCTGGGCAGAATTCCTTTTTGTAGGCTGACATGTTCCCTAAAAACCTGAGAAGTGAGTTGAGTGGTCCAGGGATGATGATGAGGGGTGTGGGCCTCCTTGGAGTTGGAAGAGGGTTCATAAGCACAAGTCATGGAAGAGTTTCTGGGTGAGAAGCCTCTCGTTTCTGAGCATGCTGTGCTTTTTTGACAGTATGAGGCCCGGGTGCCCGAGAACGCAGTGGGCCATGAGGTCCAGCGGCTAACAGTGACAGATCAGGACATCCCAAACTCCCCAGCATGGCGTGCCACCTACCGCATTGTGGGAGGTGACGATGGAGACTATTTTACCATCAGTACTGACCCTGAGAGCAACCAGGGTGTCCTGTCAACCAGGAAGGTGAGTTGGCTTGGCCTTCAATGCAAAGGTCACCCCAAGGAAGCTGGCCTACAGCTTCTGGAACAAGAAGCCCACACGTACTCCAGCTGCAGGATACGCTGCTCTGCTGGATACTATTCACCAGACCAGTGGCTCCCAACACTGTCCCACCCTCTCTCTTAGGTATACGGAGCCCTAGATGCCAAGTTCATAAAACAGGGAGGAACTGCTGATTCAATTGAAGCAGATTAGTGTAAATGCTGATATCCGGTGGCTGTCCCCAGTCAGGCTTTTGACATGAGGGTCCTCCCAACAGAAGTTGCCTATTTTATTTGAATTATTGCTTCTTTTGCATTTATCCCATGTTTATCCTGGTGTCTGATTAGTAAAATCTCTGGAATTACTTAGTAGCTAGGTACAGGAGAACAGCATTTGTTGCTGGTGGGGGTCTCATGTCCTCAGCCTTTGCTACTGCTCAGGACCTCCTCCCAAAATAGTGCTTCAGATGCTTCTTCTCTTTTTCTAGGGCTTGGATTTTGAGGCCAAAACCCAGCACACACTGTACGTTGAAGCAACCAATGAAAGTCCTTTTGTGGTGAAGCTTGAGACTTCCACGGCCATCGTAAAGGTCTATGTGGAGGATGTGAACGAGCCACCCGAGTTCGTCCCCCCCTCCAAAGTCATCGAGGTCCAAGAGGGCATCCTCGCTGGGGAGCCCATCTGCACCTACATGGCACAGGACCCTGACAAGGAGAATCAGAAGATCAGGTACTTGGAGCTGGGCTCAAATTCTGCTAATGCAGCAGTACAGATGGGCGAGCTGTTTAGTATTTTCAGCACAAAGATTGTTCCGTGTTTTGAAGACCACTCCTGGACCCGCCTTCTTCCTTCCTGCCCTACTAGAGGCTGAGAGAATGGGCTCCAGGGAAGACAGTTCTCCTCATCTTCATTTCTCTACTGGGATCCCATCTGCGTTTGAAGTTCCTATTCATAGATTAAATGTATTTCTCATTTGATCCTGCCTGTGACCTTGGAGGCCCTGGTTCCACTTGCCAGTGGTTTTAAATGACAATATCAAAGTTGTGGGTAATTTCTGGATTCAGCTCTTGTGATTTTTTCCTCTTCAGCTACCACATCCTGAGAGACCCTGCAGGGTGGCTGGAGATGGACCCAGACAGTGGACAGGTCACTGCTGCAGGTGTCCTGGACCGGGAGGATGAGCGCTTTGTGAAGAACAATTTCTATGAAGTGATAGTCTTGGCCACAGATGACGGTAAGAGTTTCCGCCCAGCCCATCCACAAGGAACATCTTTGGTTCCCAGGTGGCATGTCCCAACCTCCTAAAAGGAGGAGTATGATGTGATGTAGGGGTGTCAGCAAACCTCTCTTGGAAAGTTAGAAAGGACTTTCTGAGGAACGCACTAAAGACCATTCCTAGGATGGTTGCTTATGTCTCTAGAGCTCTAAAGCTGCAAAAAAGTAAGAGGTATCATTACCCTGAGGGGTCTCTTGTCTAAAGCTGTGGTTCCCTGAGCCTTGAATTGGCCTGTCAACTTCCACTTGTGACTGACTGACCGGGGCTGCCTGAATTAATATCCTGACCGGGATTGGAAGGATGCCTCTGGCTTCACTGGGGAAATGCCGTGATTAGTTAGTAATGTGACACCGTAACTGGACTGGCGGTGAGGGTGGGACTACAACTCTGGCTTGATGCTGGAGCCTGGAGGCCGCTGAGCAGTGACAGCAAGGCTGTGAAGGGAAGCTTCCTAGGAATTGACTGGCAAATACTGAATCCGCCCCATGATGGCTGGTAGGTTTCCCTTTGGGTAGTGGCTCTGTGAGTGAAGCGGTTGCTACTGTGCTGTGACTGCTAGGGAGCCTAGTGCTGATTCATCAGCCCAGCCCAGGACAGTCACCGAAAAGTGAGTTTGTGTGTCGTTATGAACAGGGAGTCCTCCAACTACCGGCACGGGGACGCTCCTGCTAATGCTTATCGACGTCAATGACCACGGCCCTGTCCCGGAGCCCAGTCAGATCACCATCTGCAACCAGGACCCTGTGCCCCAAGTGCTGAACATCACAGACAAGGACCTGTCCCCACACACATTCCCCTTCCGGGCTCAGCTCACCCACGATGCAGACATGCACTGGACAGCAGAGGTCAACGAGAAAGGTAACTGGGAAGTGGACAGGTGGGCTTCTCTTCCAGGACTCTGCACATAATCCTGTTCCAGCATCTTGGGGTCACCCAGAGGTGACCCCAAGAATCACAATCAAATGCTATTGATCAGCCCAGTGTAAACCTTTGGAATTCTACAGGGGCCTTGGAGCCTATTCTACCCGACTGCTTTCTAACGGAAAAGCTGAGGCTCAGAGAAAGGGCGAGTGACTGGCCCGGCTGCGCACAGCATAGTTGGGATTCCAGCCTTAATGGGGATAAAGAGGCCGGGGTGGGTCAGTGGTAGAATCGTCACCTTCCACAGGAGAGACCCGTTCAGCGCACCACGTGCGTAGCCACCAACCGTCTGTCACCTGAGGCGTGTGTGCTGTCAAGACGCTGATAGGGTTTCATTAAAGCTTCCAGACTAAGACGAACCAGAAGGAAAGCTTTAGGGATCTGCTTCCCAAAAGCAGCCAAGGAAAACCCCATGGGTCAGTATGATCCAGTTCACAGCCGCTCCTGGGGCGGGTGCAAGGCTGGGTTCTGTCGCCCATGGAGCTGCCATGAATCTAGGGGTTGACGCAAGGGCCACTGACGACAGCAGTAGCTAACGCTGAGTGAGCTTGTTCACGGTGTGCCAGACCCTGCTTCCAGTGCTTCAGAGACTGGATCCCACGATCCTCACAACGATCCTGCAAAGAGACTGTTCACGCACACTCAGTTTGCAGAAGAGCAAACTGAAGCTTACAGAAGAGTCAGTCTTTTGTCAGCAGTGTCGTAGCTAGAAAACGACAGCTCGAGGATTTGAACCCAGGTGGTCTGACCGACCATGATGCTCCCCTGCCGTTTAGTGAACCCTGGTGACATGCAGAGGAGCCTTGGTGGTACGGCGGGCTCAGCGTCGAGTCGCTAACCAAGAGGTCAGCAGTTTGAACCCATCAGTGGCTCCCGGGGATAAAGAGGAAGCAGTTTGCTGCTTGTAGCCTTGGAACCATCTGAGGTTGCTCGGAGTCAGAATCAACCAAACCCAAACCTGATGACTGTGGGGTTTGGTTTGGTTGGGGGGTATTCAAGGTGGTTTTTTCCCTGTATTTATGATTTCTACCACCCTCTTTGGTCAGCATTTTGTCCTCATTTAGAGGCTAAGCAGTGTTCCCGGGGGCACAGAGCCCCTGTCCTGCCTCCTTCTGATCTCCACCTCTGAGGTTCTCAGCTTACAATGGGTTTACCGTTGTCACAAGGGCTAGAGAAGTCTCGTTGGCAGCAAATAAGACTCGGGGTGCATAAGGAAGGGGAATGCAGCCCCAGATGCTAATAAGGTTCTGAAAGAAGCTCCATCACCATGATTTAAAGTGTTGCCCCTTCTCATTGAAGCTCAGGTCCCCCCAAATGGAAAATGAGGAACCATTATGTTCAGGCTTTGTCCCACCTCCCAAAATTGCCCAACTTCCATTATTGCTTGTGATCCCAGCCTAAAAAAGACTCAGGAAACCTGTCTCAAACACTCATATTGTCTTATTTTTAGAATGCCTGTGATAGGGTATGCATTTTTCTTGGGGTGTCCAAGGTGGTCTCCTGTCACTCTCCCCTTGTAGTCTAGAGACCATTTTTTTCCTTCACTGAACATAAACTGTCTTGGACTCTGGGCAGAATGCCTTGCCTTCTTTTTTATTAGCTTTATATGATATCTCAAAGTTATTAAACCTTGAAGTACCTCAATTTCCTTATCTGTAGAATAGGGGTTCAATAATAAACCTAGTTTCATACACTTACTGTGAAGAGTAAGTGCTCTTTATCTTTTGACCAGCATCGCTTAACAGCGGTGCCGGGGCTCACTCAGTGGAATCTGAGCATCTTGGCCAAATTCAGTGACGCTAAAGCAAGTTCCCAGCTTTAATTTTTTTTTTTCTATCCCACTTTGTTCCTACTGTCAAAGGATTGACCCAGGATCAACCCTTTTGTGACCTGCATTGTAAAATCAGGATAATATTAATCACTTCCTCATATACTTGTGGTGAGAATTACATAGGGAGCTCTGGTGGCCTAATGGCAAGAAACTGCACTGTAGTCCCAAAGGCATGCGGTTCGACTCCACCAGCTAATTACATAATAAGGCACATAGGAAGTTTCCATTTGATCTCCATCAATCTTATCATCACCAATTGAAAGATCAGACCAACAGCTTGGGAGCAGAACGATGATGTGAGGTGTTTGGTCATCTACCCTAAATTGGCCGCTCCAGATGATAGACTGAAATATCTGCAGAACTCTAAATGCCTACTGTTGCTGGATGGGACCAAAATAAATTCTCCCTAAGTCCTAGCCAGGAGAGGGCCAGAGTGAACATGCTTTGAGGTCAGATCTGAGACGTGCATGCAGCCTCGCAGGCAGGGAGATTTGAAAAGTGGAGGTTGTTTACAATCACTTCTTTGACTGGAGGCCACCACCAGCATATAGTGGTGGGACTTACGGTGCTTGGAAAAGTTCTCTGTGATACAATATAGTTCTACCCAAGTCTGTGGCTCCCCCTTGAGAAACTTCCGTTTAAACTGAAGGGTGCCATATGCAGATCTTTCTTCTGAGGGACCCCTGATTCACAGAAGTGCTCCCCCTCCACTCTTGGTCTGCCACACTGTCCCCCAGAGTGGGCCTACGTCTGAGCCACACTGAGGCTTGGCTTCTGCTCTGTGCTTAGAAAATCTGCCACTCACCTTGGCCTCTGAAGGCCAGTTAGTCACGTGCCTCCTTTTGGCACCCCTGAATTTATGTGTTGCTATTAATCTTGTGATAACACAAGTTAGCATCTTTTTTTTTTTTTTTTTTGTGCATATACCGTCAAATCGGATCTGACTGGTACAGGAGGAGATTGCCCCTCCTTCTCCAGCAGAGCATCTGGTGGATTCAAACCGCAAACATCTGACATTGCAGTTGCAGCTTCTTGCCACTAGGCCACCAGAGCTCCCTACAAGTTAGCATCTTAATGATCTTCTTTATGAAATCAGTTACCTTAGATAAGGCTTGTGTGACTTAGATTCATTCATACTTGAGCATTCACTTTGAAATATAAGGAGTTTCATATATTTAATTCTATTATACTTCTGAAGTGTGGACAGTATATGAACAATCCAGCAGCTGATAGTACTAATAAAGTATTGGCCTTATATGACTGATAGTTAGGGAGCTTTGGTGACCTAGTACATAGGGAGTTAGATTACCAACTCAAAGGTGAGTGGCTCGAACCTACCAGCTTCTTCTTGGGGAAAAAAGATGGACAGTCTCCTCCCAGGCGATTTACAGCCTCTGAAAACCCACACAGGGTCAACCATGAGTCAGTTCCAACTCAACAGCAATGAGTTGTTGACATTATGATATATATTTTGAAATTATGATATAATTTTTTACATTTTACAAAGTATTGTCTTTTTTCCTCAAATCAATTGACATATTTACTCTTCTACTATAATAAAGCTGGAAGCAGGAGCGGCATCCACTTCCAAAACAGCTTGCCTCCGGAAACTCTATGGACGAAAAGTGCTCAGGCTGTTCGTTCATAGGGTCACTAGGAGTCGTCTACGACTCGACGGCATTAAACAACAACAACAAACTATAATAAATAGGGAGCTCTGGTGGCCTGGGGATAAGAAGCTGTGCTGCAATCCCAAAGGCACATGATTCAAATCCACCAGCTGCCCCTTGGGAAAAGAATGGGCAATCTCCTCCCGTGCAATTAAACTGCCTCTGAAAATCACTGGAGGGTCAGCTATGAGTCAGTTCCAACTTGACAGCAGCAGCAAACAGTACCAGTAAATAATCTTTCCCACGTTAGTCAATTTCAATTTGCCTTTGACCAAATAGCAATTTTTAGTATTAGTCCAAAGTCTGCTTTGGGGAGACCTCTCCCCATTGCCCAGACGCAGGCTATCTTCTCTCACCTTCATCATGGGGTGCCACATTCTCTCCTGTGCACGGTATCCCAAGACTAATATATTGTTTGTCCACCCCAGGAGACACAGTGGCCTTGTCCCTGAAGAAATTTCTAAAGCAAGACACATATGATGTGCACCTATCTCTGTTCGACCACGGTGACAAAGAACAGTTGACGGTGATCAGGGCAACTGTGTGTGACTGTGATGGCCACGTGGAGACCTGTCCTGAGCGCTGGAAGGGGGGTTTCGTCCTCCCCATCCTGGGGGCTGTCCTGGCTCTGCTACGTGAGTACCAGAATGGAGTGATTATTACAGCTCGTCCTTTCTTGAACTTCTGGGACTGGGGAGCCACCAACATTGCCCATCTGTTTCTTGAACTCTTAATGCGAGGAGTGTCTATCAGTCAGTGGATATTTATGGTGCTTCTGGAATGTGTCAGGCTTTGAAGACACAGTAGTAAGCAAACAGACTTGGCCCTGCAATCATGAGAGGCCAGGAGCATTCGCTTTACCCAGATTTTGTTAGAACAGCAAACTACCAGGTCACACTTCAGACCTCTGACCCAGAAACTTGATGTCTAGCAGTCCTTGGTTTTGTTTTTTTTCTAGCAGTCCTTGTTTTAACAGGCCTTCTAGGAAACTCAGACACAGCTGGAATTTGAAAACCATAAATCTAGTGAAAGAGGTGTTTAATTAAAACTAAGTTGTTGCTCTAAAGGTAGAAATATATCTCAGTTGCTTTTTCTACTCTTAGACTTGATCCTTGCACAGAAAATACATTTAATCAGATCTAATTAAACAGCAGTGAGCAGCAGCAGCAGCAAGCTTTAATTCGTTCTTTAAACTTACCAATTCTGGGTGAGGAGACCTAGAGTTTCCATTTACCAGCTGGAGAAGGATGATGGAAAGAGCCACTGTGCCAGGCCAGTCCAAAGGGGAATATCAGTAAGCATAAGATATTTAATGAAGCCTTAGGGTTCAGATGACGAGGGAAAGGAGAGGTTACAGTCTAGCATCCTGCCAATCTGTGGACTCCTCTAAAAAAAGCTAGATCTGTCTGACCTAGTCAGAGAGGCAGCATTTCTGTCAGGAGACTAAAAAGTGGTCACCTAAGATCTCTTTACACCAGCCAGCCTGAGGGCCAGGGGTCATGGCAGTTTGGAAAAGCAGTTGGACATCAGCTGGCCTTTCCCTCATGGGCAAATAACTTGGTAAACATATTACTAAAAACAAGTCTCTTAAAGGCCTAAGAGCATTTACATCCAAGTTCAAATTATTGCAGCCTATCAAAGTTACATTATCTTGCTTTAACTTGAAAGTCTAGGCTAATTCAGGAGCTATCTGATGAATAGAATAGTCTCATTAAAAGGTCTCTTATTACTAATTATTATTAAAATAGTCTCTGCTGGGCAGTCCCCATTCCCACAGAGGATTTCTCTAAGGACCAATACTACCAACATAAGGAAGACTGACAACAAGTGATGCAGAATTACAGGTGGGATGTGAAGTCAGAGTTTCAGGTGATGAATGGGAAAGTATATGGTATGTATTGAGGAGTTCAGAGGAGGCTAATGTGGCTAGACCTTTGTAGATGGATGAGTGGGAGAGTTAGAGGCAGATCTGGGGTCCAAATCTTGTGGGCCTTGATAAGGAGCTAGGGCTTTTTCAGGTGCAAAGAGAGCTTTTGAAGTGTGTTAAGCAGAAGTGGACATGATAGGGGTTAATGTTCAGGCTACTGCGTGGAGGGGTCTAAAAGACCTGAAGGCTTGGTGGTCTTGGCCAGCCATGTGTTTGAAAGAAGCATATTGGCTCTCAAACTCTTTCAGTCCTCTTGTTGGTACTCCTCTTGTTGGTGAGAAAGAAGCGAAAGGGCAAGGAGCCTCTTCTGCTCCCAGAAGACGACACTCGGGACAACGTCTTCTACTACGGTGAAGAAGGAGGTGGCGAAGAAGACCAGGTGAGGCACTGGGAGGTCTGGGGTTTGATGCTCTTAGGACCAACAGCAGGGATAGCTGGACCAGCTGATTAATCGTATTGGTTACATAGACCAGATGCTAGTAAGAAGCATCAGTCTTCATGTATCAACTCTCCTCTTCTGAGAAAATACCTGGTCTGTTACTGTCATTTCTTTGGCTCCAGTCAAGCTGACCTTGAACCTGTGCTTAATTTGGGAAGATAGAGGAGGGTGGAAACTGGGGCTTTCAGAAATCTGGCAGTTATGTCTTAATAAGACATGTGTGTGTATGTATCTCCAAGCATCATGTCATAGGGCATTAGGGTAGATGAAAACATTGAAGAAATAGGGAGAATCCTTCTCAATCCAGTGCCTATTTTCATAAAGGACTATGACATCACCCAACTCCACCGGGGTCTGGAGGCCCGACCTGAGGTGGTTCTTCGCAATGATGTGGCACCCACCTTCATCCCCACACCCATGTACCGGCTCCGTCCAGCCAACCCAGATGAAATTGGCAACTTCATCGTCGAGGTGAGTGATGGGGGCAGTCGAGGGTAGGTAGCTCTTTTGTTAAAGTCTAGTACACCTGCCGTGTTAGGAAAAGAGAAGAGAATCTTGACTATGGTTTCAAATCCTGGTTCCACCACTGTCTGTTTCTAAAGTGCTGCCACAAGTGGGTGACTTTAACAAGCAAACTTATTATCTTACAATTTAGAGGCTAGAATTCTGAATTCAGGGCACCTGGTCCAATGGAAGACTGTCCCTGTCCTCTCCGGGAGAATCCTTGCTCAGCCTCGTCAGCTGCTGGGCATGCTCGGAGGTCTTCACACATGTCTCTTTCCTGTGTTCATGTTTACTTGTCTTTGCCTGATTTTCTCTTTTATATCTCAAAAGTGATTAAGATACAGATTGCATTGATAATGGCTTCATTACATAACAAGTAAAGCCCTGTTCCCAAATAGTATTTTGTCTACAAATAATAGGCATTGTGTTAACCACATGTTTTTTTTGAGGCTGAGAAACATAATTCAATGCACAGCCACCAACAACCAGGTGTGTGACTTCTGGCTTCTCCTGTAACCTTCTGGGCTTCTATTGCTTCCCTGTAAAACCCTAATTTAGAGTGATTCTGGGTGGTTTAGGAGTGATTCACACACTAACTCAACAAACGTAGAAGTTAGGAGCATAGACTGGGGCCAGAAAACCTGTGTTTGAATTATCTATCATCTATTTATCTCTCTATCTAGCTAATTAATTAGGATCCAGGTGATTCTAACATACCGCAACACCTGGGGACCTCTGGTACAGGTTGTTTCGGGAAGGAGAGGAAGTACCTGGCATAGTGCGAGGCCGGTAGTCCATAAGCATGCCTGCACATTCAAAATCACTTGGGAAACATTCAGAAATACTGATCCGTCTGACATGTAGAGATTGCAGTTTGATTGTTCTAGGATGTAGTCTGAGCCTCCTGAGGTTTTTGATGTGTAGTTTTATTTTTAAAAGATCCCCAGGTTATTAAAGTTTGGGAACCACTGGTCTAGCATGTATTCGGGAGTGATTTCTGTCATTACGTGCCTTTGAGCTAACTAAGACTCGTGGTGGCCCTTGAACAACAGACTTGAACCTTATCCTGTCCTGCACCGTCCATCCTCACAGCCTCCACCACACTCGAGCCCCCTGTTACAGTCACCGTGTCAGCCTATCTTGTTTAGGGTCTTCCTCTCTTTCTCTGACTCTCAACCTTTCCCAGCATGAAGTCTTTTTCCAAAGACAGGCCCCTTCTAACAACATGCCCAAAGTACGTGAGACAGAGTTCACCATACAATTCAAAACCCAATTCTTCTTTGGTTATCCTTCTTCATTGTTCAACTTCCAGATGCATAAAAAGCAACTGAAAATGCCATGGGTTGGATCAGGAGCACCTTAGTCGTAAACTGGCATCATTGCTCTTCAAGTACTTTGGAGAGGTCCTTGACAGCAGATCTTCCCAATCCAATACATGCTTTGATTTCTTGACTGCTGCCACCATCGGTATTGATTGTGCATCCATTGTAAAATGAAATCGTTGGCACCTTCAGTTTTTCTTCTGGGGAGCTCTGGAGGCCTAGTGGGTAAGGAGTTGTGCTGCTAACTCAGAGAGGCAATTCTAATCCACCAGCTGCTCTGAGGGAGAAAGACAGGCAATCTCCTGCCATAGCCACTGAAATCCACTCGAGGGTCAGCTGTGAGTCAGTTCTAACTTGATGGCAAGAAGTGGCTGATAAAGAATGGTGGGTTAAAAAGAAAGGAATGGTGGGTAGAAGTTATTGCATACACCCATCAGAGTGTCTCCAATGTATTAAATCAGATGCACATTAGATTTATCTGAGAAACTTGGAAAACTAGAAATGCCCATGACCCAGGCATCTTTTTTAACGTCCCAGGTGATTCAAATACATAGCCAGGATTGTGAGAACCACTGACCTAGACACATAAGAGGTAGATGAGCCCAACACAGCCTGGTACCTAGTCCACAACTGTTACACAGAAGTTCTTAATAAGAGAAAAAAGAAAACTGGTGGATGTTTAAAATGGAATCAGATGTAGGGAACAGCAGGAGACAGAAAATATGCTGGGTGGGCAGGGACCACTTGACTCGAGACCCTTGGCCTCGGTCTGCTCTGGCAGTGAAGGGAAAAATTACTTATCCTTCTTCCACCACTGCTTGGTGGTGAAATTCTGTTCTTCAAGCATGAGTGTTTTAGAGAGTGGAGAGTTCTGTATGAGAAAAAGTCTTTCTCACAAATAGGGGTGCTGCTCAGGACATCTGGCTTGGAGACGACACCTTAGCTTCAGAGCTAAATGCTTGAGGCCTTTCCCCTACCTAAAAACATCTACACAATATCTGCAGGCTGCTCATTTTTAATAATAATATCTCTTTGTCCTCAATTGGCTTTTCAAGGCTGCAAATCTCACGGGAGGAGACTACCTATCTTACTCCGTTGGAGCTGCTGGTAGATGCAAATCACCAGAGTGTGGGTTAGCACAGCTCCCTATGAACTACCCCACTGGAGTTCCCCTGTGGGGTCGAGATCTTATTATTCTGGTTTTACAGATGAGAAAACGGTCCAGCAGTCTGCAAGATGATGCCCTGGTGATGTAGTGGCTTAAGCACTGGGTTGCTAACCAAAATGGTAACCTCAGCACTTGCTCCTTGGAAGAAAGCTGAGGCAATCTATGCCTCTAGATTTGTAGCCTCAGAAACTCTATGGGGCATATTAGTCTGTCCTACAGTGTCAGTAGGAGTCAGAGTCGCATAGTCTCCTGGCTGTGAGTTTGGGGTTTGAGGGTTTGTTTTTGTTTTTTAAGTTAATAGTGTATCACATATATTTGCATATACTCGTTTATTCCTCTAAAATGATAAGAAGTATCTCCATGTTACAGATGAGGAAACAGGAACAGGAGTTAAGGGACTTGTGCACAGATTCTGGTCCTCAGCTCAAGCTGTGCGGTCTCAGCATCCCTACCCTAGGCTGCTGCCACTGGCCCAGGTTGCGTTGAACACTTGTGCTAGGCTCTGTGCTAACTGCTTTGTGTGCATTTAGATGCACTGCAGGATTGCCTGGGTGGGGCAAGCAGCTGACACGCTCGGATGCTAGCCAAGCTTTAGAGACCGGAGTTTATCCTGAGATGTCCCAAAAGGAAGGCCTATCCATCTACTTCCAAACAAAATCAGACCTTGACAATCCTCTGGAAGACTGTTCTCTGACACATGTGGGATTGTCATGTGTGAAAACTGACTCATGATAAACCTCTCTTAAGAGCTTGAGGGCAAGAGATGTCCTCAGAGAGGAAGTGGCGGTTTAGCCAGGCGAGCTCACCCACGCTTTCTCAGCTGATGGGCATCAGGCCCCAGTCTCCTAACTTTCTGCTCTCTGTGACCACAGAACTTGAAGACAGCGAACAGCGACCCCACTGCCCCACCCTATGATTCCCTGCTGGTGTTCGACTACGAGGGCAGCGGGTCAGACGCCGCCTCCCTGAGCTCCCTTACCTCGTCTGCCTCTGACAAGGACCAGGACTATGACTATCTGAACGAGTGGGGCAGCCGCTTCAAGAAGCTGGCCGACATGTACGGGGGCGGTGAGGAGGACTAGGCTGCCTGCCAGCTGAACCTCAGGCCACAGAACCCTCCTCCGTGGGCTCCCAGGTTCCCCCTTCAGCAAGGACTTTGGAGCTTGTCAAGAAGTGGCCTTAGCAACTTGGAGGGAAGAGTCGGTGAGTCTATAGAGGTAGTGTCTTGGCCATTCTGAATGGAGGAACGCCGGCAGACCAACTTTAACCCAGAAACCTCTTGTCCTGGGTCAGGGTGGTCTGGGAGCCGAATTTCTGCGAGTTTCTCACCTGCCCTCATGTGTTCAGCACTGTGTCCTGGGCCTGACTCTCCTCTGATGACGTCTCTGGTATGGACCCTTATCTTTAGAAAGAGGCCTGTCTTACACCCTGACTTCATGTCTTTCTTTTTTAAATGCTATTTTCTTTTTTAAAATACAGTTTTCAAAAAATTAAGAGGCAGGTCCTCAACTGTCCCCATGGGTCCCCCAGAAATCCAGCCCAGAGCCGCTGGGCCACGTCACCTGTCCAGCCCCGAGGCCCTGCGTCATTGATGTTTTTATACTGAGCGCCCAAGTCTGTTGTTTTCTGTGTTCCCTGTTGTGCTATAGACGAAGGGTGATGACAATCGTGTAAATGTACAGAACTTTTTTTATTAAAGGAACTTTTCCCAGAACTGAACTCCAAACAGCCTTATTAAGACACAACTCCTCTACCATACAATTTACACATTAGAAATCTCTAATGCCATGGTGTTTGGTATTTCTAGTACACATAGTCACTCACATTTTAGGTAACAGCCTGACGGAGTCCAGGACAGTATAGTGCTGGGGTGAGGTGCATCCTTCCCCCTCCACTCCCCATAAATGAAGAAAGGCTTTTCTATGTGGGTGAACTCGAAGTGAAGCCTTTCCTGGAACACTGGCGCCCCCTCTCTGCAGTATAGAGAACTCCTCTTTGAGCTGCGGGCTCTGTGTGGAAAGGCAGGGGCAGCAAGAGCTGGAGTCCCCCAGTGATGTAAATGGTTAACAAGCTTAGTCGCTAGCTAAAAGGCTGGTGGTTCAAGTCTACACAGAGGTAATCTACTTCTGAAGGGTCACAGCCATTGAAAACCATATCTCTCTATTTTGAATCACATGGAGTTACTGAATGAATTTGAGCTCAAGCACAACTGGTTTGAGAGAAAATCCAGCTCTGCTACTTCTTGGCAAGTCACTTAACCCCTGGATGCTTCATTTCCGTTTCTTCATCTATAAAATGGGGAGTTTTGGGGAGATTAAATAGCTGGCACAAGTCAGTGCTATTTAGTAACAGCCAGGGTTTATTCTGAACTTTTTAGAGCCAGACAACTCCTAGATTATTTCCTTTAACAAATCTTAACTTGCCCTCCGAGGGGATTTTTCCTCTTTTAAAGAATGGCCTCATTATATTTTAAAAATCACACTTTAAGCATCATCAGAATCAAGCAAATAATTCTTTTTCAAAATAACTTACCCAGGATGTCAGTGACCTTGGACCAGGGCTTTAGATGGGCGCAGCAGGAGGTTGAACTGCAATGAACCGGTTTGAGGATTTGCACTGAACATTCTTGACAACACCAGGGCTGGCCTATACACAGAAATGAAGGCACTCTGATGAGCTAGTTGGTAAGGAGTTGTGCTACCAATCCAAAGGCAGTCGGTTCGAATCTACCAGAGAAAGATGGGCCGTCTTCTCCCATGTGATTTAAAGCCTATTAAGACCCACTGCTGCGTCAGCTTTGAATCTTTTCCAACTTGACAACAACTGTACCAGTCAGATCCGATTTGACAGTGTACACACACACAAAATAATAAAAAAAAAAAATTGCCTGTGCAAGAATCTAAAGTGAAGGTAAATAAATGTTTCCTTCTCATGAGAGACTCATTCTTTACAGCACTTGTACTTAAAATTGTGAAGTCCATGGGCGGTAAAATGGGATGGATAATGTGCTTGACTGCTAACAGGAATGCTAGAGATTGAAGCCCACCTAAAGACCTGGCAATCACTGTCTAGAAAAAAATCAGCCATGAAAATCTGATGGAACCCGACTCTACTGACATACATGGGGTAACCATGTTCCAGGGTGATTCCCCAGCAGCTGAAACTCCAGGTGCTGCTCTCTGACCAACAGCATCGACGTCACCTGGGAACATCGTTAGGGACAGTAGAGTTGGGTCTGACTCAGGGACCCAGTGGATAACAGGTCAAAACCCAGCCCAGTCCTGTACCAACCTCAGCCTCTCTGCTGTGCAGAAGTCCACTGTTAACTACAGTCACTGTGTTAGTCCATCAGACTAACAGCCTGGCTCTCTTTCACAGATTCTCCCTCTTTTCCAACCATGATGTCTTTTCCCAAGGGCTGGGTCCTCCCAATAACATCGACATGCCCAGAAAAGTGAAACAGGCCAAGTCTCACCATCCTTAGGAGCTGCGCTGACTGCCTTTCATCCAAAACTGTTTTGTTTGTTCATTTGGCGGCCTCAACCTCGTTGCTAGAGAGCTGGAGCTGATCCAGGGCTGACTTCCCATTGGGTTTCCGAGACACTGAATCACACGAGAGTGCCCACCTCTCTCCTGAGGGAGTCACTGATAGATTTAAACTGCCAAAAAGACGTGGGCTTTGGGCTAGCAGAGCCAGCACTTTAAGGACTACACTACCAGAGCTTCCCACTGGTATATCCAGTTCTCTTTGACAGCACAGTTCAAGGCATCAGTGCTACTTTAGTCATCCTTAATCAGGGTCCCACTTTCACGTGCACATGAAATCAAACTACCACGCCTTTGGTCAAGGCAGATTCTCTCAGAACCACTTACTGAATCAGACTCTCTAGAGGTGGAGCTCGTGCTTTGTTTGCACAGATTGCCTCTTCAATTTCTGTGTATGCGCCCTAGTATGATAGGCAAAAGATATTTCTGCGTATGTTGTGTGCTGTCAAGTTGGAATCGCCTCAAAGTGATGTTAATACACATTCAGATGAAAGCTAAGGATGCCCTGAAGTCTCAGTTTCTGGCTTGGAAACCAAAAAAATGAATTAAGCAGGCTGGAGAGTCTCATCCCCGTTACTGACAGAAACCTCATTGCTCTGGGTCTATAGGGCTGTGGTCCACAAGCTAGCGCTGCCTGCTGCCTCTCCCACTTCTGGCTCTGGCTGCCTCAAATTCCCTTTTCCTGGACCCTGCTGCTTTTGCTGATAAGGTGGGATGGGAGGATTAGGTATCTCTGCCAGCAAACACCTGCTGCCCCTTATCTTAAACTCCCTGAGAAGCCTGAATGAAGTCTGAAATCCTACCTCCTGCTGAGGCTAATAGGAAAACCAAACAGCCACTGTTTGGAGAAAGCAGAGGAGGGAAAACAACTCTCCAGGCCAAGTGTGGTCTCTGGGTAGGGATAGATGGCCTTGGCAATGGACCCACTCACCAGCCTCTGGAAAGAGCCAACCCAAAGGTCAGCAGCTTGAATCCACCACCTGCACCGGGAGAAAGATCAGCAATCTCTGCCTGTAAAAATTTACAGATTTGGGAGCTCTGGTGGCCCAGTGGCAAGAAGCTGCACTGCAATCCCAGAGGCACGCAGTTCAAATCCACCAGATGCTCTGCTGGAGAAGGAGGGGCAATTTCCTTCTGTACCCGTCAGATCCAATTTGATGGTACACACACAAAATATAATTTTAAAAAATTTAAAAATTTAAAAAAGAAAGTAATTTACAGCTTTGGCAAACTGGTGAGAGGTTATTAGGTTATTAGAGTTAGTTAGAAAGGCTTCAACCGCAGTGGGTTTGCCTTCACTGCATTCTTACTCTACCAGCATGATGACCTTCTCCAGGAACTGACCTCTCCTGATCACATGTCCCAAGCACGTGAGAGTCCTCACTTCTAAGGACTATTCTGCCCGCGCTTCTTCTAAGACAACTCTGCTTATTCTTCTGGTGGGGGGTGGTCTGTGCCATTGAGTCAGAACTAACTTATAGCTGACCCTCCAGTGGGTCTTCAGAGGCTGTAAATGTCACAGGAAGAGACTCCCATCTTTCTCCTTCAGGGCAGCTGATGGATTCAGACGCCTGCCTTTGTGTTGAGAGTACAACCAGAGCCTGGGGATTCATTCTATCGAGTGGTCTTTTACCCCAGATTCCCCACCCCCCAAATTTTTAAAAACCAAACTCACAGAACTCAAATTCAACAGAAAAGTTGGAACTTTGGTGGGATAAGGGATTGGGGTGCCCAGAGTCCTGCCCCTTTGACCTCATCCTCTCAAGGTGTCTCCTTAAGAATCCCCTAAATCCAGATGATTTGAAAACTACCTTATTTTAACCATTTGCCATCGTGTTTTAAATAAAACTGGTGTAGAGGGAAAAAACCCAAAATAACCTGCCTTCATTGTCATGTTATTTTAAAAAAATGATAAAGACGTAGAGAGCACAGTCCCTGCACTGGATGGAGCTGGGCCAGACCCCAGACCTCTTCCTTTGTCACTGAGTTGAATTTTGTACCCCACCACCCTGATGACTTCTGCTCAGGCTCTTGAAGGACCTGGAGGGCTCTGATGACCAGATGCCCAGAAAGTGGGTTGAGCCCCTAGATTTCTGTTTTCCTGAGCTGAGCAGTTCATCTCACATCCTTTGAGCATAATATCAGGGGAGGTCAGTCCCTGAAAAAGGACATCATGCTTAGGTAAGTTGAGGTTCAGTAAAAGAGAAAGACTCTCAATGAGAAAGACTGACACAGTGTGACTACGACAATGGGCTTAAGCACAGGAGACTGAGGATGGTACAGGATCAGACAGGATATCCTCTGACCAGATGGCACTGAATAAGAACAATCTGCTGAACAAGAGCCTCCTTTAACCATTGAGGCCCACAAAGGAACACAGTGAGAAGACCGAGGCAGAGAGCTGCGAAGTGATCTGGCCCTTGGGAAGCCCCTTCTGCAGCCCACACCCTGCACGTCCAGTTCCAAGTTCACTGGGGAACTTCATGCAGCCAGTTCCCTCTGGCTAAAGGCATTACTGCTTCTCAGGAAAATAATT